TGAAATTGTAATTGACGCAAACCTGTGACTCAATTGTCTCCTATACAGTAAAACCTGTTTAAATCGGAATCCCACTTTACTGAATATATGTATATATATATTTCTGATTTGGCAAGTTTTCTTTTTAAACGGGGTTTTACTTAACGTAGAAAACCGCTTTGGTTCGTAGAATATTTTCCGTTTAGACAGGTTTTGCTGTATTACACGATGTAAGAATTGAATGTTAAATAGGTAAAAACGGTAGCAAAATGTTTCAAAATATAAAAAATAAACTGGTTTGGAAGCTGGAAATGATAATTATATTATTTTTTAAAATAGTTTTTTGTACTTATATAATTTTCTTTTATTTATTTATTTTTTATTTTTGTTTTGTATAATTTAAGATTTTAAAATTATTTACAAACAATTAATTTATTAATTAACAGTTTTTACAGAAAACTTAATTGATAAATTTGATATATAAATGCATTAAGAAGTAAAGAAAAAAACATTTTGAATAAAATACAGTAAAATCTGTGTAAACCGCGACCTGCATTTTCATCTAATAGGTTTTTTACTGTATTATTTTTTAGCTTAATGCTGAGAGATAATACCTGTGTAAACCGGAATCATATAGTACTAAAGTTTTTCCGTTTATGCAGGTTTCTGTTTTATTCAAGTTCCGGCTTAGACAGGTTCTACTGTATTTTATTCAAAATTTTATCCTGCTTTACTTAATACATTTATGTATTTAATTTATTAATTAATTTTTCTGTAAACAAAACTTAAATATTGAAAATACTATCATCGTATCGGATAATGATAATTTTTAACATAAATTGTATGATGTTTTAGTGTAAAATATGAAAATTATATTTAACATATATTAAAAAACGAGATAAATATTGAAAGTACATGTACATGTACTGTACAAAATAATAATAATAATAATTTTGTCGTGAGAGACTGAACAATAATGCAATTATTATTAGACTTTCAAAGAAATTTTCAACTACTGTACTGTTTGCATGACATCTTTAACGTAAATTATAATTTCCTAGAATTATGTGAAATTTGAATTGCTATTTATTTTAAGTAATTCTATATTAATTCATAATACATATTCAGTGAAACTTGTTTATAATGGAAACCTACCAAACAGGAAAAAATTCTGAAAATTCCGACTTACACAGGGTTTATTGCAGTGCAATTCCGGCTTACACAGGGTTTAGTGCATATATTCAGTGCATATATGAGAAATACTCAAGAGAAATTAGGAAAGTGTCGTTTTTTATGGGTTATCAGTGACAGGAATGTTTTGAATGACTACTAACCTTCTATCACAGTAAACAGCATGTGAAAAAATGCTTTCCTGAAGTATTAAATGCATCTTTCTAGTGTAAGAAATGGGGCCAAGGTATTAAGAGAAGGAAATGAAAAATTGGTGATTTTTAACGTATAAGATCCGACTTAATCCTAAATCTGGGTCACGGTTATCTTCAGTTATCTGCGATTAATCGTAATTTATATTTTATTAACCGATTGAATAAGGTTTATTTTTTAATGAAAAGAAAAATATTAAACCTTTCAACTTAAAATTAAACAGGCACTTAATAAAATTTAAGGAAACAAATAGTTTTTATTATGACGAAGGAAATTTGGAATTCAGCCAATGATATCAGGAAAAACAAGTGGATTAATTAATTCTAGCATGTAATTAATTTAATGGAAAAGATCGTAAATATTACTTAGAATTGTTATATTTATATCTGTTTCAGTATTAAGTAGTTTTATCCACTCGGCCACTGTTAGTCCAAAATTATAATTGTAAAAGTGATGTATATACGTACTGTACAGTGCGTACCTTATATCGTCGACCATGAGACGATTTGTATGTCTTTTTGTATTGATGCAATACTGTATTCTATATACTGTAAAATTCTCGTCAAAAACCTCCCAAAAATAAAACAATTAAATAAAGAAATTGGCTTATATTGGTATAATTGTTTATCTTTAAGCTTTGCTCACTCGAAAACTTTCCTGCGGTGTCCATGCTGCTTACAGAATTTATTTATAATTTACAACAATCAAGTTAAATTAAAATCGATGAGTGAATCTGCTAATGGAAATTTGAATTTAGCCATGGTTAATGAAGTTTAGTAAGCGAATTTATTAAACGATACAATTAAAACTTCATCACTTTTACAGAGTTGGATTAGAATGTTATTGTCAGCCATTTTGTTTTAATAAGCAAATGCTTATTATAGCCAAACCTCTGAACCACGGCCACTGAAGGAAACATAAGAAATAGTCGTTGTTTACAGGTGGCCGTTATTAGAGATTCGAATGTACTGTACATACTTAAGGAGGAAATCGAAAGTTAGATAAATCATCGAACAATCACGCTATATGAACATTAAAGCAAACCTAATAAATCTAAATAGACAAACCTCCATTTTCCTAGTTTTTACTCCATGTTTATATATAGAAAGTGTCCTGTACAGAATAGTATTGAATATAAGATACATGGTCAGTGGCGTAGCGTAGTGGGGGCGGCAGGGGCGCCCCGCCCGGGAGGCAATTTTAGGGGTCGGCAAAATTTCAGAATAAATAATAATAATATCTTGTAAAAATTTGAACCATTTCATTTCATATTTTTGTCGCACCTAGGATTCGGACCGATTGAAATAAGCACAGAATTTTTCATTACTTATTCTGTGACGAAACTGAATTTTAATCTTTTAAATTGAGATATCTAAATAAGGGTGAGGCAAAATTTTCCTCCGTCCCGGGCGGCTGACACCCACGCTACGCCACTGTACATGGTCCTACTATGACCTAGTTAAGAAGGCCATAATAGGACCAAATACATCTGATTGCTGCATTAGAGTTGTGAAAAAATTAAACGTTTTCGAGAAAGTGTACATTAGGCCATATTTGGAAATCGTGTTCCTTTATAAAGACTAAACATACACTATCATAATTAACACAAATTACGATTAAAGTAAACCTTTATTTCTTGATAATCGAATACAAAATAATCGTGATTTCTAAAATAAATTTAGTTATAAACAACAAAATGAACTAAACAGCAATCAACTTTGTTTAAAAAAAGCAATAAAAAGCAATGCCTAGGTGCAATTTTGAATCATATATCATTTGAAAAATCACGTGACTTTTGGTCTACGGAAGTCACATGATTTTTTAGTTGCGGTAAGCTTTTCATATCCGGTCTCGAGAAGAACGGACAGTCGGACGGACGACAGTAGGAATGTATTGTACTGTACAGGTCTGCAATTTGAAAATTACTGTCCGATTAAAATTTACTCCATCCATCTCTCGCTGTAAATATTATAATTAAATATATTTTAAAAAATCTCGAGAGGGTTAGGACTTAATGAAGATTTTATTTGTTATTAACATTTACACTTTCTCATAAAACTTATCCCTACCGTCAAAATTAAGCGTTTTGTCATTTTGTAGTAATTAAAAATATAGAAAGATTTTATAACAGAATCTGACGGATGGCGTCTCATACAATTTTATTTATTTTGCTTAATAATATAAAAGTTTTTTAAAATAAAAACTCACAACAGCGGGGAAAGTTACGCAACTCTCGTTACTGGATTTTTTTCGATATTCAATGTTCAGGATGTCTTTAATAATAGGCCTATATTGAACACTTTTTTCGACTTCCTACCTCCTTTTTTTTAAGAAGTTTGCTTCAACTGGAACACTTTGTCAGTCAATGAGTTTACGAAGTTAATATTGGTTTATATACAACGATTTTAGATTTTATCCCTCTTTTATTAAAATACAGGGTGATCATAGTAAAGAAGTAGTGATAGATGTTCTGTATAAAAAAACTACTGAGAATATCTGAACTAAATTTGGTATACCTTTTCGATTTTCGGATGAAAAACGTTATTTTAAAATTTAACCGCTAGGGCGAAATTTGTCGCTGCCGTCTTCTTAGTGTGCATATGTTTACGTTTTCTAACCAATTTCGGGGATAAAGAGTCACAAAACGTTTTTCGTAGTTTTGTGACTTTTCAGGTGAACAGTTTATCATGATCACCTTTCTCTTAAGATGGTGCATCTTCACGTGTCTGCTTAAACGATTTGTTTTTTAATTTCCGAAATTCGTTAGAAAATCTACAGTACAAGTACTTAACATGCAAATTAAGGAAACAACAGCTATTTCTTTCTACAGAGAGCTCTGAACACCTACTTCTAAATGATAATCACTCTCTATATTTTGAATAATGAAAACATAAAATGATTAGAATAAATAATTAATGAAATAATTAATAGTTTATGAGAAGAGGTGGTAATATTTAAAAACACGTTACATAATGCCAGGCCCTCAACCTTACGTCCACCAGTGGCAGAGTGGATTGGACCACTGAACATGGATCGTGGGTTTGCTCCTCGCCAACGGGCTGGCCAGGTGGTTTTCTTCACTAAATAGGGGATAATTTCCAGTAGAAAGTCCTTCAGGAAGAAAGATTGCCCACGTGTCGCATTGCAGTAAAGAAATAAACTAAACTCAATTCTTGGTAACAAAATGATTTATTTATTTTTTTTTTGAAGTGTTGTATGGAGATGCATACTGTTTGTCACTGTTTTGTACGTAACTGTATGCACACATAGTTTATAAAATAACGTAATGTTTCCCCGTACTGTGTATTATTTTAAAGTACGGATAAGAGAGTTGTTGATCGAGGATGTCCATTACATAATTTGGGGAGAAGACAGAAAGATGGAATAGTCGAAAGGTATAAAAAATAACTACGTGCAATTGTAGACGAACTCTCTTCTGAAAAAAATTAATGATTTTCCCGAGAATATTAAGTTTAACCTTGATTTTACAGCCTGAAGAATAGTCGATGAACTGTTCTATTGCAAAATAAAATGTAAAAACCAAGGCCATGCTTAAAGTATACTTGTGTTGACTGAAATAAATATATTTTTATCAACAACTTAAGCTGAAATAAATTTAAATTCATAATCTCAATATTTATTGGAATATTTCAAATACAAACCAGAAATTTCTAAACAAAATTAATCTTTAAATGTAATCTACAAAAACCCCCAAAAATACAAGAGTAAAAATTAACATTATTTAATTGCGATGCTTCAACATGGCGATGGCAAATCTGGCCAGATAAGAATATTTTGGTGATGGAGATGTGACATTTCTGCTCAAGAGTTCTGTACATTCATCGCTCGTTGGATCATAAGAGGAACAGAAATTGTGTGTCATGACCATTCCCATCATATCCGAAGCCTTCCGTACTGTAGGGAAAGCATCCCTTCCGCAGGATTTATCCACTTGCTCGTAAAAACAATCATAGAACTGCATGAAGTAACTACAAACAGAAATTGCATTAATAAATAACTTTGATTATTTCTTAATTTGATGGAATACAAAGAGAATTTACTGACCAACAACCAGCAGGAATTCGAGATTCCACATCATCTCCCATAAATTGATTTATAATATTTGGCAAATCTTTCATACACACCCGATGAGTGTTCTTCACTGCATCAGATAAGCAAGGTGCAATTTTCAGAAATTCTAAATAAATATAAATTTAATCGAAATGTAATTAATGTAAATTAAAATAAATATGATAATAAATTTAATATTAAAGAATTAAACTTGAAAGTGTAATTTGTTTAATTTCACGATTAAAGTCAAATGTTTGAACAATGGCAACTGTCGAGAACATAAAAAAAATAGACGTTGTTAGGAGTGGCCGTTATTTGGAGGTTGGACTGTATTATTACTGTTTTAAGTCTAGAGTAAATTTTGCAATAGAAAGTTTAGAAAATATCACTATAAATATTTTTTAAAACAGTACAAAAATTTTAAATATTTAAATTTATTTTATTATTCGGATTTCAGCGTTATTTAACGTTGCAATTGCATCTTATAATTGTTATTAAACACGTAAGTTATAAAATAACTGATTTATAACTGAATATAATGTACTGTACGTGTACATAAACTCAGATGTTAATCTCATAGAACATGTACAGTACCTTACAAGTAATTACGTAAGTTAAATCTTTTATATGAAGACATATAGGCCTAACAGGGAAAATATGGCAATTGGTAAAAAAAAAATGATCCCCAAGATTTTTACATTTTTGGATTCAGGGGACTTTGAAAAGTCGAAAAATGCGAACAAATTGGGGGTGTTTTTTTACATGTATGGATGTTAATGTTCGTGTGTGCGGGAAACATGATTTTGTTCACCCGCTTTGAAGTTTAATAACTCTTTAATAATATAATATATAAATACTTTTTATATTATTAGTCACTATAAAATGACAAAATGCTAAATCTTACGGTAAAAATGAGTTATAATATAAAAAAAAGTGTAAATGCTAATAACGAGTAAAATCTCCATTAAGTCCGTCCATGCTTGAGATATGACACGTGATCCTTCTATATCTCGCCACTTCGTTTACCTTTTACCGCCAAACTTTAATAGCACCAATGCCCCTTATGTACAACCCTCCCTGAAAAATTTCAGAAATTTTCGTCAAAAGGTACAGGAGTTATTAAGCTTGAAAGTGGGTGAACAAAATCGTGCCCTCCTCACATACACACACTAACATAGGGCCGGTTCTGATAGGTGTGCAGTGCGTGCGTGCACGCAGGCGGCCAAATTATTAAAACGGTAGATAGTGCATTTTAAAATATAAAATTCAAATACAATTTATTATTATTTTAATCTAGCGGTCGGCGACGAAACAGATTGATGTTTGCATGACAATTGATGATATAAAGTTAGGTTAGCTGTGCAGCTAATGGATATAAGTAACGCTGAAGCATGCTAAGTGTTTTGCATCAGAAAATTGCGATCAGGTGATGAGGGATTCATCCGTTGAACTAGAGAAAAATTCATCAGTGGGAATTCCATAACCACTGCGATTATTTCTTGTTTTAAATTACGTAAAAAGTTTGCAAACTCCAAGCTGTATTTATGTTAACATCTTATGATTAAGTTTAAGGTTAAACTTACGTAACTCACTGTGAATAGTTGCATTTAATAACATAGATACAAGACTTTACGTTTATACTTAATTTTCATTGTAAACTATATGAAACTATCCTAAAAAATACCAGTAGGATTTCATGAATTGGGGTAGATTATGAATTTACTCGCGATCAGCATTGATAGGTGCGGCCAAATGTCTGTAGCACGTAGGCGGATAACAGTCCAAAAATGGCCTTGCACTAACATCCATACATACGGGAATTATCCCCTAATTTTCCTGCATTTCTCGACGTTTCAAGGTTCCCAGAGTACAAAAAATTTAAAAATATGGAGGAGAGGTAATTTCTTGAACGATCTCCAAACTTTCCCTCTGTTATTTATAACATCAGGGAAAGTAATAACATCAGTGAATATTTTTATAATTATTTATTTATGAAGTATGATAAACGGAATATTTTTTTATTATTATTTTATCGAGTTGAAAATAAAAGATATTGGAATTAATCCCTCTTTTCTCCTAAAATTAAAAAAAAAAAACTTATTTTATACTCTTTTAAAAGTAATACTTATAAAAAAATATATTCGCCTAGAGTTAAATAAGCGGAAAAGCATTTAGATTTCAATGGAGAAAACAAGTTTCGATTTGTTTCAAGGCAAAATAAAATAATAAAAAATTGTAAACAATGACATTGAAGAAAGAATTGCATTCGTTGTTGCCAGTACAATTCCTTTATGAAATGAGCTTTCAAATATATTGAGTTAACTCTTATACTTGAGGGATTCTGTGCTGGATATTTCGAAACTTGAACCCAAAACTATTTAGTTTTACTTTCCTCGCTGTTATATATAACAGAGGGAAAGTATGGCGATCAGTCAAAATTAACGAACCCGAAGAATTTTACATTTTTGGACTCAGGGAACCTTGAAACGTCCAGAAATGCAAAAAATCGGTGGTGTTTTCTACATATATAGATGTTAATGTTTGTGGCTGTGTAGGGGCACGATTTTGTTCAACCACTTTCAAGCTTAATAACTCTTTCCTCGAAAATTTTCGAAATTTTGCAAGATTTGTGTATTAGGGAAATTAATGCTATTAAATTTTGGTGGTTAAATGTCGAGGTGATGAGAAGATAGAGAGGAGTTCATGTATCATATCTCGTATAGGGCCGGACTTAATGAAGATTTTACTCGTTATTAGCATTTACAATTTTTTTTTATAAAATCCTCATCCTTATTATTAAGCTTCTTGCCATTTTATAATAATTAATAATGTTAAAAGATTTCGTTGCTGGATTCTAAATTAATAGTATCAACACTTGCATTATAATTAATGACATTAATAAGAAGACCTAGGTTTCAGTTCGGACCTCAGAAATTTTTAGGAGATGGTTTATCTCAGATGTCTCGTCCTTCAAGATCCGACTGCCCATTGTGGACCTGGCCGAATCCGCACGAGTAGAAGCCCTCTAATACCCACAGAAATGAAAGAGCATTTTTACTACGTCCACGCTCTTCCTTATGTACTTAAAATTTTATTATTTTATACGTGAATTTATATATCAAGTTGTAAATTCTAGTTTGCTCGGATGTAAATCCTGCACTGCGTAGTGTTAAAGCTAAGAATAAAACACCGACCTTTCTGAAATTGACTTCCTTTATCACACCATTCTTTGGTTATTAAATCACAATGATCTGCCGCCAAACCGTATATCATGGAGTGAATATCAGCAACGCATCTTTCCATATATTCGTTTAAGCAGTCGTAACTCTTATTTATCATACTGTAAATATCCATTAATAAAAAGAATTAATTTGTAGAGAACCATTAATTAATAGATATTATAATTTACTTACTCGCATCTCTTATCTAAAGCTTTCTGGTCGACTGGTATCAAATTTCTGCTGGCTGCTACCATTGTCGGCATGAAACAATTATTTAATTGTTCCGTGTGACAATCTTTCTGGTAAGTAGGTACCAGCACTAAAAGATAATATATATGTANTTAATTAATAGATATTATAATTTACTTACTCGCATCTCTTATCTAAAGCTTTCTGGTCGACTGGTATCAAATTTCTGCTGGCTGCTACCATTGTCGGCATGAAACAATTATTTAATTGTTCCGTGTGACAATCTTTCTGGTAAGTAGGTACCAGCACTAAAAGATAATATATATGTATTTATTTATTTATTTATGTACTATATTGAAGAATAAAGAGTAAATTCGATAGATTTTTAATTAACTTACCCACTGATAAACAAAGCAAAATCGGAAGGATGATCTTCATGGTTGTGTAAGTTATCGACAAGGTTTCCTTCTATCCACAAGCAGTCTGAAGGTAAACTTGTCTTTATCTACTTTATATTATACAAGTTAATTATTTATGCGTTCTTACTTTTTTTTTTTTTTAAGTGATGTTTGTGAAACGATTAAATTTATTTGAAATTGTAATTGACGCAAACCTGTGACTCAATTGTCTCCTATACAGTAAAACCTGTTTAAATCGGAATCCCACTTTACTGAATATATGTATATATATATTTCTGATTTGGCAAGTTTTCTTTTTAAACGGGGTTTTACTTAACGTAGAAAACCGCTTTGGTTCGTAGAATATTTTCCGTTTAGACAGGTTTTGCTGTATTACACGATGTAAGAATTGAATGTTAAATAGGTAAAAACGGTAGCAAAATGTTTCAAAATATAAAAAATAAACTGGTTTGGAAGCTGGAAATGATAATTATATTATTTTTTAAAATAGTTTTTTGTACTTATATAATTTTCTTTTATTTATTTATTTTTTATTTTTGTTTTGTATAATTTAAGATTTTAAAATTATTTACAAACAATTAATTTATTAATTAACAGTTTTTACAGAAAACTTAATTGATAAATTTGATATATAAATGCATTAAGAAGTAAAGAAAAAAACATTTTGAATAAAATACAGTAAAATCTGTGTAAACCGCGACCTGCATTTTCATCTAATAGGTTTTTTACTGTATTATTTTTTAGCTTAATGCTGAGAGATAATACCTGTGTAAACCGGAATCATATAGTACTAAAGTTTTTCCGTTTATGCAGGTTTCTGTTTTATTCAAGTTCCGGCTTAGACAGGTTCTACTGTATTTTATTCAAAATTTTATCCTGCTTTACTTAATACATTTATGTATTTAATTTATTAATTAATTTTTCTGTAAACAAAACTTAAATATTGAAAATACTATCATCGTATCGGATAATGATAATTTTTAACATAAATTGTATGATGTTTTAGTGTAAAATATGAAAATTATATTTAACATATATTAAAAAACGAGATAAATATTGAAAGTACATGTACATGTACTGTACAAAATAATAATAATAATAATTTTGTCGTGAGAGACTGAACAATAATGCAATTATTATTAGACTTTCAAAGAAATTTTCAACTACTGTACTGTTTGCATGACATCTTTAACGTAAATTATAATTTCCTAGAATTATGTGAAATTTGAATTGCTATTTATTTTAAGTAATTCTATATTAATTCATAATACATATTCAGTGAAACTTGTTTATAATGGAAACCTACCAAACAGGAAAAAATTCTGAAAATTCCGACTTACACAGGGTTTATTGCAGTGCAATTCCGGCTTACACAGGGTTTATTGCAGTGCAATTCCGGCTTACACAGGGTTTAGTGCAGTGCAATTCCGGCTTACACAGGGTTTAGTGCATATATTCAGTGCATATATGAGAAATACTCAAGAGAAATTAGGAAAGTGTCGTTTTTTATGGGTTATCAGTGACAGGAATGTTTTGAATGACTACTAACCTTCTATCACAGTAAACAGCATGTGAAAAAATGCTTTCCTGAAGTATTAAATGCATCTTTCTAGTGTAAGAAATGGGGCCAAGGTATTAAGAGAAGGAAATGAAAAATTGGTGATTTTTAACGTATAAGATCCGACTTAATCCTAAATCTGGGTCACGGTTATCTTCAGTTATCTGCGATTAATCGTAATTTATATTTTATTAACCGATTGAATAAGGTTTATTTTTTAATGAAAAGAAAAATATTAAACCTTTCAACTTAAAATTAAACAGGCACTTAATAAAATTTAAGGAAACAAATAGTTTTTATTATGACGAAGGAAATTTGGAATTCAGCCAATGATATCAGGAAAAACAAGTGGATTAATTAATTCTAGCATGTAATTAATTTAATGGAAAAGATCGTAAATATTACTTAGAATTGTTATATTTATATCTGTTTCAGTATTAAGTAGTTTTATCCACTCGGCCACTGTTAGTCCAAAATTATAATTGTAAAAGTGATGTATATACGTACTGTACAGTGCGTACCTTATATCGTCGACCATGAGACGATTTGTATGTCTTTTTGTATTGATGCAATACTGTATTCTATATACTGTAAAATTCTCGTCAAAAACCTCCCAAAAATAAAACAATTAAATAAAGAAATTGGCTTATATTGGTATAATTGTTTATCTTTAAGCTTTGCTCACTCGAAAACTTTCCTGCGGTGTCCATGCTGCTTACAGAATTTATTTATAATTTACAACAATCAAGTTAAATTAAAATCGATGAGTGAATCTGCTAATGGAAATTTGAATTTAGCCATGGTTAATGAAGTTTAGTAAGCGAATTTATTAAACGATACAATTAAAACTTCATCACTTTTACAGAGTTGGATGGTATTCTCAGTCATTTTGTTTTAGTAAGCAAATGTTTATTATAGCCAAACCTCTGAACCACGGCAACTGAAGGGAACATAAGAAATAGTCGTTGTTTACAGGTGGCCGAGATTGGAATGTACTGTACATACTTAAGGAGGAAATCGAAAGTCAGATAAATCATCGAACAATCACGCTATATGAACATTAAAGCAAACCTAATAAATCTAAATAGACAAACCTCCATTTTCCTAGTTTTTACTCTATGTTTATAGCCTATATAGAAAGTGTCCTGTACAGAATAGTATTGAATATAAGATATTTGGTCTTATTATGGCCTAGTTAAGTAGGCCATAATAGGACCATCTGATTGATGCATTAGCGTTGTGAAAAATAAAACGTTCTCGAGAAAGTGTATATTAGCCCATATTTGGAAATCATGTTCCTTTATGAAGACTACACATACAATATCGTAATTAACACAAATTACGATCAAAATAAACCTATATTTTTTGAGAATCGAAAACAAAATAATCGTAATTCGTAAAATCAATTTACTTATAAACAATAAAACAATAAAATGAAATAAACAACTATTAACTGGTTAAAAAACAATAGAAAACAATACCCGTCTGCAATTTTGAATAATAATTCAGTTGAAAAAATTACATGACTTCCGGTCTAAACCGGAAGTTCGTAGACAGTTAGTCGGAACCTCCGACCTCTAAGCTTTCCATATTCGGTGTCGATATTTTACTATCTAACGCCGTTCTCGAGAAGAACGGATAGTCGGACGGACGACAGTAGGAATGTACAGGTCTGCTATTTGAAAATTGCGACCTAATTAAAATTTACTCCATCCGACTCTCTCTGTAAATCTTATAATTAAATATATTTAAAAATAATAATAAAGTGCATAATGCAAAATTTCGTCACAACAGTAGATTAATAATGATGTTTAAGAGTACTCAGTTTAGAATTTTATAGGAAAACTTGAAGATTAAATTAAATTAAAGACAAAAATATGAAGATTAAGACAAAATTTTTATTACTTACCTGTTTTAAATTGTATAAATAAGGAAATTAAGAAGAAAATAGGCTACAGTTGTTATATAGTCAATTGTACGTTTCTATACGTACAATTGTATTATAACAATACGTACAATTGACTGTATAACAGTGAGAGGAAAATGTATACATTTATTTATATCTATTCAATATATATATATATATATATTTATATGATACACCTTAAAATCGTCGTGACACTTTTTTCCATCACCAAAGCAAAAGAAATTTGAAATGACGGTACCAAAAATCGACGAAACGTCACAAAATTTTTGAACATGTGAGCGAAGAGAATGAGGTATCATGAGGGGGAGGATTGAGTCGCCATTTTAATGTAATATTTACTAGTTTACTTAAAAATAACTATTAGTAATTTCGAATTTTATAAATATTTAACGTGCGAATTATTAAAAATACTTCATTCTGTGCGAATGAATTTACAGTTTTTATGCCTGAAATCACATGATGCACAATAAAAAAATTTTTAAATATGAGATTAATTTATTTGATTTTTAATATTATTTTAATAACTTTATGCAAATTCATCATCATATTTTTATTTTATCGTCATAAGGAAATATGTACGTCTAATAATAAACGTGTCCTTGTAATATTTTTGTGCCAGTAGATACGAATAATGTTTTATTTAATTATTAATTATTAAATTTTTCAATTGATTTAATAAATCAAATCAATTATTTAAATAAAAAATTAATAAAATTATGACTTTTTATTTAAATATTTTAAATTATTCGCATTATTAGTAAATTTCATCTCGTGGCCAGCACGTGGTAAAATTTCGCGTGCTGGTCACGTGGAATTTTTTTGGGGTTCTCGTATATAACATTTGAATAGGGCCGATTAATTTCAAATGTAGAGGCCTTTACATTTGGAAAATCGCCAAACTTTCTACACTCTCATGGATTCCTCGATCTTTTATGGACTCCTTTTGTTTTGTTAATACATTTGATAATAATATTTGTGATTATTAATTAATAAATTCGATGTGCCAGTATTAATCCACTCGCATAAAAAAGATCTACTTAATATGCAAATTCACACCTGAAAATTGTCATATACATAGTCACACCGTTTTCGATCGACCTCTGACTCATTTTCGACCCCTACAAATGCTTTATTAACCCTTAAGGGGATCGATATTCACCACTTTGGGAACTCCTGCTATAGAGGATGATTTCTTTTTATTAAAAAAAACCTTTAAAAAATCCCGGCAATGCGGATTTTTGCAAACTCAGACCACCTCAATCCTCTATTTGCCCGATTCTACTGTGTGTCTTGGATGTGGATCTTTAAAACTACCCTACAACGTTCGAGCCTCCATACAAAAAGTAGTTCATTAACATAAAAGCTTTAAATCTCTACATTTATTACATTAATGGGCTACTTTTAATTTAGATTTGACGCGTTACGCACCTATTAGAGGGGGCCTAACTTACATTAGAACGTTCAAACTTACATTTATCTTTCTACAGTACCTTTGTGGAGGTAGCCACTAAGCGCTGTGAATGAAGAGCCAACTATTATGTATACAATATACTGTACAGTACATGTGTATAAAAGTACGTTTGTCACGTACAAATAATCTTCCGGTGTTTATTTGAATTTTTAAAATTAATTTATAAAGGTAAGGGGGATCGTATTATACGGATATTCCTTAAAAATAATTAGAAAATAAGCAGGAAAAGATCGTTAGATTCCCCTCGTTGAGTATTTTCGAATTATTTTTAAGGAATTAAGGTTATTTTATTAAGTAATTACTTGGAAAATATCGCTGAACTCAAATATAATAATAATAACTAAGACATACATTTCAATTAAAATACATTATATAGCGTGGCATTTCCTTGTATACAAAAGCCAGTTTATTTTAAATGACGTACAGCACGTCATTAACATTCAAGGATACTACAAAGTATGTTTGAAAGTAAAATTATTATTTTAATAATAAAAACTTCAAATAAATTGTTATTAAGTGTTTTTATTTAAGGGCCTTTACTAGGGCTGTACTAAACCAAAATTTTGTTAAATATATCGAGCAGTACATCGAGATTCGTTATATCGAAGTCTGTACTCTCTTTGCCACTAGATCGGGAGGGTGCATAACTTAAGTGTTATTTCGAGCCGCATTAGCTTAAATCGCCTTTAAGTAGACCGCTTAAAAGTACTTTTATAGGCATTAAATATATATTTGTACGTAAAATAACAATACGAAAAACAATATTAAACTCAAATGCATCACATAGATTTAAATTATAATAACGATAATACATTTATTATGATATTTGAGTGAAGGGTATTAACCTAATTAAGCTGTGACTTGTGTTGTTCACCTTTTCTACGTTATACTATTTGTTAATTTTGCATAAAAAGTAAAACAAACTGTTAATATTCTGGAGTAACAATGACAAATTAACCTATTTTTTACATTATATACCCAAAAATTAAATATATAAATAGTTTTTGGCGAATTTATTTACATTAATTTAATCTTACGAGAAAGCTGAAAGTGTTTGACACATTTCTTAATCTTACGACGAGTAGCTTTTACATATTACATTGATCTCTTACATTAACTATAATAAAACCGGATGTCCTTACTTTCTAAATAATAATTACCATAAAAAATATAAGTGTAATATTAATTTAATGATATCAGATTTAAATATTATGAAAATAACCACAAATTCCTTGAATTTATTCTTATTACAAAGTTTCGAAAAGCTTTTATTTTTGTCTAAGCAACACGCAACGCATAATTATATTTTTTAAGAAAAATTTGACCTCATAATATCACGTGACCCGAAGAAAAATAGACGTCAGAAACGCATAAAAATGGAGAGACAGTTGCCTTGAGCCATCCAGTATTTGTCCGAATTCAAAAAAGAAAAGTCGAAAGTAACAATGAAGACTCTTTGCTTTCTTCTAGCATTTCTGTCAACCCGTAAGTACTTTGCAAATTCCAAATTTTCAATTAATTTTTAAAATATCGCCTTCATTTCCGCAGTTTTGCTGGCGAGCGGGCAGCAGGAATGCCACACTTCTCATTTGGACACGTGTATAGCTCCCATGCTCCTGAATGCCAGGAAAGAATTGGTACCCAGAAATGCCAAAGAATTGGAAAAGAGATGCGAGTACGTATGGATATACAAGATTTTTTTTAAATTAAAATTAAAATTTTAAAATAAAATAAAATAAAAATTTTCTAGGCAAAAGAATAAAATGTGGAATTGTGTGGATAATTATATGGAAAAATGTGTTGCCGACGTTCATCACATGATGATGAATTTGGTGTTGGACGATAGTCGCATGGTAATGGATGAATGGTGTGAAAGTGGAAGCGATTTCCAACGTGGTAAGTAAATAATTAATGTATCGGATTGAATACTTTCTGATTTTCACGTGCCCTCATTTTTATCAAATATTATTAAATATATTATTAAATATTAAATAGTACGAAAAGTCACGTTTTCTGTTTATTTAGCGTTTGTTCTAACTCAACCTGCATCTTTATTGGAAAAATTTCAAATTGCAGATCTATACATTCCCACTGCTGGTCTTCTGTGTAGACCATCCGTCTTTCTATCGTCTTTCCTTCGTTAATCTTGTTAGATACATAAAAATCGCGACAAGATATGAAAAGCTTAGGGCCAAAAGAATTGGCTTTCCATATCTGAATCGCGATTTTCATCTATCTAACTCCGTTCTCGAGATTAACGAAGTTCAGACAGACAGTAGAACTGTATAGGTCTACAATTTCATAACTTCAGCCCAATAAAAGTGTAAGTTGCATTAGATCAATCTAAATAGGATTTTTAAAAGTAATAATACTTGCATTATGTATGGAATATGGTTTTCTATGGCCAACAAAATTTAACCATTTTAAAACAATTCGCATTTATCTATTGCTTGTTAACTAATTAAATATCAGAGAAATATTGATTATTTCGTTTTATAATCTAGCAGAAGTTTTCCTTAGTTAGTTATTAATATTTTAGATTATCTGAAAATTGCAAGTTGTCTATCGGATGCAACCAAGAATGCTAATCGTCAATGTTTGAGGAACGTAGAAAATATCATCTATCAAATCACGGGAGACGACATTGAAGCTAGAATACCTTCCGGATGTTGGTAAGTGTAGAGATAATATTGTTACGCTATCTTAACATTGACACGTGCTTGATTTTCAATTCTTCTTACAGTTGTTTCAACAAATTCTACAATTGTTTCTACGAGCAAGTAGAAAAATCGTGTGGAAGAGAATCTTTCCCAATTGTTAACAAATTGACACGTATGATGGGCATGCATTGCGCTCGTAATTTTTGCTCTTCCTACGATCCTTCCAGTGATGTGTGTTCAGACGTATTGGCTAGAAATGCCACTGCTTCTGAAAAGAATTCCTATCTTAGTAGATTTATGATCACTATGATGAAACATGGCAATTAATTTGCTAAAATAAATTATTATTTTTTTCCTATTTTATAACCTTTATAATTACTACAAGATTTAATTTTCAAATATTGATGTATGATGTATACGTTTATTAATAATAAAAGTCGTTTTTAATTGTTATTTGTGGCATATGTTCTTGTATGAAGCAGACTAAGTGTAGGTCTGAGATTTATAAAAGTTATCGTAATTTAAAGTGATTAATGGCAAAGTTTTTAGCTGAAATGATACATAAAACACTAAAAAGTTCAAAATTTCTTGTAAAATTTTCATCTGTCAAGGATTTTAAGAGGAATATTTTTAAAGTTTACCATAATGGGCTTGAAAAATTATCTCTTGGTACCTTTTCTAGGAAGGTAAAAGCACAAAAAGCTAGTAAATTAAATTTGAAAGTTTTATTTTAAGGAATATACAAATTGAATTTTATTTAATTATAAATTATTGATTAATATGAGTGGAATAAGCTAAACAATGGCTGAATTTTAACTGAATCGAAATGGAGCCATTCCATTACATTAACCCTTTAAATTTCGTAAAAAATACGATAAATTGAATATGATATTATAATTTTGTGTAAAATTTATCATCATTTGGAACTCAGAAAATTGTAATAAAGTACCAATTTGAAAAGAAACAAAGTTTCTCATAGTGTGCTTACCATTTACTATTACCATTTATCAGTAGCCTAGTGGATAAAACGATTGAACACTGATAATTGGTAATAAGTGTAAGAACCACGTGTCCAGCTCATTGGTCAAGTCACGTGGAGTTTTCCTGGCTTTCTTTACTCATAGAAAGTCTTCTCGGTAGGTGTCCCCCATTGGCAGATCGTTCATGTGTTGCGCTGCCTTATTCTAACAATCTGATCCTTTGCAGTTATTTACCAATTCAGACACGTTTTCTACTCAAAAATGGCGATAAAACATATTTCAAATACAAAAGGAACTCGTTATAAAGTTTTTCAAGGAACTGATCTTGATATTTAATTCTACACAATGAGACTTGTTTGTTCAAATGTATCCTTGATCTGTTGAACCTTCCCATTCAAGTAGTCGTATGATGCTTATGAATAATTATTAGTTTGCTTATTTTGTAGCTTGAAATCGATTGACAGACGTTTAAAATATCTAAACTTTATTAAATTTTATATAATAATATAGCAAAATAAGCGAATGTATTCTCAAAGTCAGTTAGTATATTATTAATTAAATCTCAAGACGTATGAGTAGCAACATCAATGTCATGAGAATATCACGTGGCACCAACAAGCTCAGTGTTCGTGATACATGAATATTAGGCAAAGGGCGAGCGTTGTTTTCCATGTTTACAACTACTGGTGAACTCCATTGAGAGCCATGCAGATTCAAAATGTGCAAAATTATGATCAGTCACGTAGTCATATAATTAATCAACAATAATATTTTTAATAATGAAAATATCTTTCATGTGATTGATATTTGCACGGTGATTCTATTTACATTTTAAAAGTGCAAGCGTGTAATTTGGTGTCTATAGTGATTTTATCTGGCACGTGTACGGAGATAAAATCTCCGTACAAGTGCCAGAAAAGTACTAATAATCATAATCGCTAAGAAAAACATGTTTTCGATTAAAAATAAACAGCGCGAATTTCAAGCAATATGTACGTATCCATATATATATATATATATTGAAATTTGCGCCGTTTATTTCTAATACAGTATATATATATATATATTATACAGTAACGTACAATAGATTATTAAGAAAATAAAAGACAGTATACAGAGCATCTCATGGCATATCTCACATTGCAATTTTGATCATTTCCAAATATGATCATAAATAAAATAATTGTTTTCGTATCCATGTTTAAATCTTTCAAACACTCCAATTTACAAACATAATTTTAATAAACGGTATGAATAAAATCTCAGATGAAGTAAGTGATCATACTATGGTATATGAGCTACTAATCACTCTATTGTTGAGGAAACTTAGTCTCAGAAGCTGTTATACAGAATTTTCTACAGGAAGAGGTGTACTACTGTATTTTGCATTAAAAACATCAGTTATTATTATAATTACAGTATTACATATGTTGGGTGTCCGGCATTTGTTAATAGTTTCTAGTTTTAATTCTTCAGCATGTTGTAGAGAAATTGATTAGCATTTCTTTCTGTTCTTGTTGCTAAATGTGACTTTCAATGAGCTTTTTTCATTGGCCACTTTCTTGGCCACCCAAAAATGCCAAAAGTGTTAATAATTGAATCTTTAGTTCAGGCATCTGTAACACTATGTGTTCTCGGTAACAAAACTTGTACAATGAAAGTTAAAAGCATAATGAAGAAACGCTCTTTACCTCATATCCGTGAAAAATTTAGAAAGCCAGTTCTTCCGGAAACACATTGTTTCTACTGAAGAAACCTTAAAAATGCACGTTAAAGTGCATATAAATTTTGAACGTGTTGCATGTGTTTTTCCTTGTGTTCCTCGAATCGAAGAATCATTATTCTAAGGTCACAGGATGTCAATGAATGGCCATGCAATTGCACGTCTTCATATTTTTGTAGCATAGCAGCTTCAAAAATAAAACAAGTTTAGGCAATGTGAATTACTTTTAAAGTTATGCTTTGCTAATTTTCTTTACAAAAATATAAATTAATTATAAAAATTTAATGAAATTACGTTTTAATGAAGAAAATTCCAAGAACAACAAATCTTTTTTAAAACAGAACATAAATTATAAATTCGTTATTTTTAAGGATTGTAAAAACAATTATAAAACTATGCAATTGTGATTGTAGAATTGCAAAAATATAATTAAAATTTTGAATTAATTAAAAGATTTTCGAGAATTTTATAATTGTACAGAATTTCGAAATTTCATCATTTTATATAGAAAATAAATGTATATTTGTAATTAAACTCAGATAATTTAATTAACATATTTTCGGATAATAGTCTCAATTTATCGCATTTTATTAAAAATACTTTTATATTTCATTTGTTGTGAAACCGTGTTGTACTAGATTTTCTTTAAAAGTGTTGAACACGAGTCGTGCTATTAACCAATCACATGGCTTTTTTTTCACCTTTATTTATTTGATACTGTATCATTTACACGTTTAGGGCTTTTTTGCCCCTCATCAGTCAAGTAAAATAAGAAAATAGTGTATACAGCATTTAAATATTTTTTACAAGTAATTTGTACAAACAATTTAAAATACATGTTTTTCCCGATATGGCACTTGTACTTTGTGATATACAAATTTACCGTGTACAAGTTTCATATCGGGGGAAACTAGTACGTGGAAGTTATAGGGGAGACCGGGGCAAGATCGGCATGTTAAGCTTTACTTAAATTTTGTGTAATAAATACTGCTGTAAACTGAAAAAAAAGCATTGCATATTGTCTATTGGAATGTTACCTTACTATAGAACTGGTTAAAATCAGTTTGGAAATAAAAATAATTAAAATAATTACAACTTTACAAGAAGAGAGAAATTGACGAAGTTGCCCCGGGTATAGGGGCAAGATCGGCAACTTCTCTCTTTTTGTAAAGTTGTAATTATTTTAATTATTTTTATTAAAGTTGCCCCTGGTATAGGGGCAACAGTAATGGGGCAAGATAGGCACGTATATAAAATTATGTTATTAACAATGTATAAGTTGGAATTCACTATTAAAACAAAGAAATACAAATCCAACACCCATTTAATATTATTACAACGAAATGCAAGTTCAAAGACATATATACATGAATAACAAATGCAAACATGTTTTCATTTATCATCTGTTTGATTTTTATCCTTTGCTTCTAATGTGGCTTTATGTTGCCGATCTTACCCCGCTAGTCATGATTTCGAAACATTAAGTACAACCCTGAGAACAGAATGCCAAGCCACGATCTGGCCACGTGAATAAGTTGAAGTTACATCCTTCTAACAGGAAAAGTAACTTTCGTTATCATGGAATTATAACAAAACCTGCCAATTCAATATAAATGGAAAAAAAATATTATATGGAATTGAACGAAAATGAAAATTTGCTTGATAATTCAACTACGCTTGTTGGAGAACAATAAAAACACTACACTCAACAAGCCACCAATAAAACTCAACTGCCTAACCTATAACCAAAGTATCCTTTTAATTTGTTTTAAAAAAAAAGCGCTTGACAAACTTGCCCCGCATGCCGAAGTTGCCCCGGTCTCCCCTATACATGTATTTTAAAATGTTTGTACAAATTACTTGTAAAAAATAATATTTAAATGCTGTATACACTATTTTCTTATTTTAATTGACTGATGAGGGGCAAAAAAGCCCGAAACGTGTAAATGATACTGTATCAAATAAATAAAGGTGGAAAACAAGCCATGTGATTGGTTAATAACACGATCTCGTGTTCAACACTTCTAAAGACTTTTATATTTATAAAAATGTATGTAGATATTTGTTAAAACCGAATGCCCAACAGTAAACAAATGAATGAAACCTTCTAGTCGATGCTGAGTTAGCGCTTGTTTTAGACACATGGTGAAAGCCTACAGAGTTTAATCGGCTTTCTCCACGTAACAAATTCTTACTTTACCGTACACGAATAAACCAAACCTTAATTTCGTGTGAAAATCTTATTCTGGTGTTCATTAAACTCGTTGCAAGAGTGTATAATTTAACGAATGTTATTCTGAAAATTTCGAATATACTTCACGATTTTATTTCTAGATATTCGTCAAATAAAAATGAACAGCCGTATTTTTATTGGGCTATAAGACTTAATAATTACTAAGCAATTTGGCAGGAGGCCGGCTGCCATCTCTTGTTAAATATAATAATTATAAAGAAATAAGTTAATTCAATTTAATTTTAGAATATTCTGGAAGAAAATATCTGAAATGAGACTCGAAGCTGTAACTCCTGTTTGCTGTGCAGATGCGTTTCTAGTTGCGATACTCGAATCTCCGTGTAATCTTTTAAAATTTAATTAATTAATCAATTTATAATTATTATATTAAACAACAGATGGCAGTCTGGCGGCCTGCCTTTTGCCAAATTGCTTAGTAATTATAACCTTATAGCTGATGAAGTATCCGGTTGTTCATTTGTTATTTGAAATATTTAGCGGGTTAGTTGTATGCGGGAATAATTCATGCATGCTTATGTCTCGATAAAATTTTACGTCAGAAATACAAATAGGCCTATTAGCATTCAAATTTTTAAAAATCTGCGTTGTTAATTGTTGCAACTACATTGCATTAATATTTAAAATGGTCAGAACTGCTTCCAGAACGTCACGGCATAAATTAAAATGGCTTAACTCCTTACAGGGGAAAATTTTTGAATTGAATATAACGTGACTTCTGGTTTGTATCGGAAGTTCATATAGAGTTAATCGCGGCCTTTTACCCCTCCGCTTTCCATAAATGTTCTCGGATTTCGTCTATCTAACTCCGTTCTCGAGATTAAGGAAAAACAGACCAACAGACAAGCGGACAGGGAATTTATAGGTTATATTTTTTCAAATTATAGCCCAATAAAAAAATTGATTAGCTTTCATAAAAACAAATTTTAGGATTATTCCTGTCCCCGCGTTATCCATCTCTCCATTACTAGTGATTAGCTCGAATAATCGGGAATACATTGTATTTACTACATATTCAATCAAATACAGCCAAACGAGATAATATACGTTCCTTTAAAGGGCCTGACGGAATTAAAGAAAAGTTCCTCAACTTCGTGAGGCCATCAGCCACGTCTTCTCTAATTTATACGTGAATTTGAAGTAGATTTTATATAATTTAAATTGATATCTTTCAGATACCTAAAGAACAGTGTGATGTTAATAAGTTTGGTATTATGAAACACACAAAAGTATATTTATTAAATTCGATTTATTATATAGTCCATAAAGATAAAAGGAAAAAATATTCATAAACCTTTTAAATTGGAAGTTAATAACTATAACATGAAAAAGGGATTGATTATCTGAACCAAGTCAGTATCAATCTAACAAGATAAGAGTTCTTCTTAGAAGGTTCTACCGATTTTCTTCCAAATAAATCTGCACAAATATCGCTGGAAGAATCATAGGAAGAGCAGAAATTTCGAATATAATTCACAGCTACGGTTTCGGATATTTCTGAGAATATCTTCAAGGATTCGTTTCCACACGATTTTCCCATTTTTTGAAGAAAACAATCGTAGTACTGATTGAATAAACTAAATTGGAAAAGAGTAATGAAAACCGCATCATAAATAAATATATACATATATATTAAGCTTATTTATAAAAAATTATGGAGTCCTAGATGAAATATATATTTAAAAATAATACGAGCAATTATTTATTGTGACATCGTCACAATGCGAGGCTGCAATTTTTAATCATATTTTTCACTTATTTAATTTAAAATATATGCTCTCCACCTCAAATTGGTAGTTACTTGTCCCTGTACATTATACTTTTCCTTTAACATTAGAGTCGTATCGGTCATCTAACACTTTTCAGAGGAAAATTTTGAATTGAAATAACACGATTTCCGGTTTGCATCGAAAGTTTATATATCATTAGTCGGGTCTTCCTGCCCCTATGGTTTCCATATTTGGTTTCGTCTTTCATTTATCTAACTTCGTTCCCGGGATTAAGAAAAGACAGACGGACGAACGACAGTGGGAATTTATAGGTGTACAATGTTTTTCAAATTGCAGCCCAAATTGAAAAGTATATACAGATAAAATTTTCCTTTTCTTAACTTTCGGGAGCCAGTGCCCGAGTGGATAAAACTATTGAACATTGGTCGCGGGTTCGTACCTGCTAACGTGGAGTTTCCGGATTTTCTTTCGGTGTCTAACATTGAAATAGGGTCCAGTTTTCTTTAGAAAATCCACCCGTAAGGTAGATTGCTCATGTGCTGTATTTCCCTATCTTATCAAATTAATCTTTAACCCTTTTTAACCACAGGAATATAAATTAATACGTTTCTTTGAGGCTCTTCCCTTCTTCCTACAATTACATAAATTGATTAAAAGTCTCTCTGGAACCAGATTTCAGTAAAAATATCAGGCAGGGAAGAGTCTCAAAGAAAAGGCCAATTCAGTGCTAATTGTGTTCCTGGATTGAAAAAGATTTTAGAATACAGCAAATTTTATTTGTATTATTTTAAAGTATATATTAATATCTTTAACAACGTTTATAATTCAATTTAGAATAATAGTTGAATTACACTTACCAACAACCAGCAGGTATTCTCTCATCTACATTGTCTCCTGTTAGCATAAATATAAGATTTTTTAAATTTTTTCTGCACTTTACAAACGAATCTTTGGATACTTCTGACATGCAGCGGCTTTCTTTCACGAATTCTATAATACATATATAATTTCTATATAATAAATATCTTACACAGACTTATAAATTAAGAATTAGAGATATGTAAAAACTATAACTAAATCTTGTTATAAGTTCTGTATAATTCTTTATATAAAAGGCAGTAATGTAAAAATTATCCACATAATGCATTTCTTATTTACCTTCATCTTACAAAATACTAGGGATTGGGGAATAAAGATTAATTTCATAGGAAATTCATAAGTTTAAACTACAGGGTGGCGCACATGTGCGCCCTGGCAGAAAAATTAAATTACTTAAAAAATACAAATGCAATTAATTAAGTGGTAAATGGAGTAAGAGATACAATCTTGAAGAAATGTTTGCCGTCAGACATAAATTCTGAAGATTACAATATGGTGTCTGACTACTGCTGAAATTGTTTTCATTGCATCTCTCCATTGGAGAACTTGCAGATTCTTCAGGAGCGCATAGGGCATCTTAGTTGCCCCTATATTACAAAGTTTATGTGGTTTAAATTGGTGCCATATGAAGAAATCATTTGATGCCATCTTCAGTCTTTTCCAGAGCTTCCACAGCTATCAATCTGGGACCAAATACTTCTTTGAGTAGTCAAATACTTTTTAGTGCCAACTATCTCTCTATCAACCTTTCAAACACAACATATTTCTAACAAAGTGATAAAAAAATTACAGTGCTGTTCCTCCAGGACATATGCCTCACCCTGCATAAACATCAATAACTAAATAAATATGAATATAATACATGGACTATTTACGTTTTTGTAACGTGCTTCTAGAATTGCAAAATTCTTCCATCCGTATGCGAACTTTTCCGGATAACAAGCCGAATATTTGTTGATCAAGCATAGTAAAACAATTCTGCATGAAGTTATCGGTACAATTCCATGTTCTATTCAATTGTCTAATTAAAATTTCATTAATTATTTCCAAAAAATTGCAATATACATTAATATAAATTAATTTAAGAAATTTCACCTGCAAAAGTTATCCAATTCATTTTGGTTAGCGGGTATGAAATTTCTCATCGAAAGCAAAAATGGAGCGATACAATAATCCAAGTTTTCTGTATGGCAACGCTCTTGATAACTTATTGACTCTGCTGTAAAATTAATTATAATTTTATCTCTAATTTTACAGCTAAATATTGCTCATGTACACTTACCAGTTGCAACGTAGAGCAAGAAGAAATAAAGTGTTTTCATACTGAAATGCAGAAATTTAGATCCGAAGTACGGTGATTTCAGAAACGAAATAACGTTGTTTAAGTGAAAAATTTCTAATTAATTTCCTTATATACGAGGAAAATAAATAAATAAAAATATATTTTTATGGGAAAAAGCATTGTCCGGAATAAATTTTCTTCTGGTTCTGTGAAATTTTATTATTTATTTTAATTTAATTGCTGAACTGTCTTTGAAATGCGATGTGGTAAGTCGATTCGTCGTCATAAATTTCTTTTATTTCGTGAATATAATTTCTGTTTTCACTAAAAATTATTTTTAAAATAATTTATTATTAGGAACCTTGTAGTAAAAATGTCTCAAAAATTATGTAAAATGATAAGATTTGCATTAATGAAGCTAAATAATTTATACAAAAATTCATGGTTTCTCTTCGAATATAGCATCAAAGTATTTGAAATTCACACGTAATTTAGTTTTAGTAGTAATTCAAAAAAGTGTTAGGGTTTTTCTGTTTTTATAGATTAGTGTTTGTATGTTAGTGTGTGAGTGGGAGGGCACGTTTTGTTCACCCAAGTGAACCGTTTTGAAGCTTAATAANCGGGGCAACTTCGTCAATTTCTCTCTTCTTGTAAAGTTGTAATTATTTTAATTATTTTTATTTCCAAACTGATTTTAACCAGTTCTATAGTAAGAAAACATTCCAATAGACAATATGCAAAGCTTTTTTTTCAGTTTACAGCAGTATTTATTACACAAAATTTAAGTAAAGCTTAACATGCCGATCTCCCCTATATTATTATAAATACTGTATATTCGATTATTTAATACGTAAAACTGGATATAAATTCAATTTTATAAATGTTATATATTATTCCAAAGTTGGTATTATAATTATTAAGGTGGAAAGTTTTCACTTTTACGTCCCTTTTATTTTATTTTAGTGTTTTGTTTCAAACATGACTCTGTATTTTTATAAGCTTAGGAGAAAAATTATTTAATTTGTTCATTTTATTATTTAACATTATTAAATTAAACAAAAAAAAAAAAAAATACATGGCTTATAATATTAAAATCTGTACTAGAAACCTACATTTATTTACATGAAAGTTTATCGAAAGTATCTATCAATACATTAATTATACAGTCGACCCCCTATAACGCGGTAGATACGTTCCGCTTTATAAGAATTTCGCGTTGTAGGAATTCTTAAATACGTGAGCCAATCACAGCCCGTCACGTGTGCAGTTTACGGACTACGACTGTTTGAAAAGTTTTCTTCTATAAAATTAATGGATTCTTGACTAATCCGACTCAACATTTCCAAAACACGTATAATTTTTCGAGAATAATCCGTATAAACTATGCTATAAACGAAAAATTGTAGGATTACTTACCGAGTGTGCACCGTTCGACGACGCCATTACTTAAGCTTGTTTTCGTCGCGGAGCAGCGCACCAAACGGCGGGCGCGATTTCTGATAAGTTATTTTTCTGCGAAAACTTCGCAGAAGGGATCTAAAATTTAAAGTTTTATGTTTANCTTCTGACATGCAGCGGCTTTCTTTCACGAATTCTATAATACATATATAATTTCTATATAATAAATATCTTACACAGACTTATAAATTAAGAATTAGAGATATGTAAAAACTATAACTAAATCTTGTTATAAGTTCTGTATAATTCTTTATATAAAAGGCAGTAATGTAAAAATTATCCACATAATGCATTTCTTATTTACCTTCATCTTACAAAATACTAGGGATTGGGGAATAAAGATTAATTTCATAGGAAATTCATAAGTTTAAACTACAGGGTGGCGCACATGTGCGCCCTGGCAGAAAAATTAAATTACTTAAAAAATACAAATGCAATTAATTAAGTGGTAAATGGAGTAAGAGATACAATCTTGAAGAAATGTTTGCCGTCAGACATAAATTCTGAAGATTACAATATGGTGTCTGACTACTGCTGAAATTGTTTTCATTGCATCTCTCCATTGGAGAACTTGCAGATTCTTCAGGAGCGCATAGGGCATCTTAGTTGCCCCTATATTACAAAGTTTATGTGGTTTAAATTGGTGCCATATGAAGAAATCATTTGATGCCATCTTCAGTCTTTTCCAGAGCTTCCACAGCTATCAATCTGGGACCAAATACTTCTTTGAGTAGTCAAATACTTTTTAGTGCCAACTATCTCTCTATCAACCTTTCAAACACAACATATTTCTAACAAAGTGATAAAAAAATTACAGTGCTGTTCCTCCAGGACATATGCCTCACCCTGCATAAACATCAATAACTAAATAAATATGAATATAATACATGGACTATTTACGTTTTTGTAACGTGCTTCTAGAATTGCAAAATTCTTCCATCCGTATGCGAACTTTTCCGGATAACAAGCCGAATATTTGTTGATCAAGCATAGTAAAACAATTCTGCATGAAGTTATCGGTACAATTCCATGTTCTATTCAATTGTCTAATTAAAATTTCATTAATTATTTCCAAAAAATTGCAATATACATTAATATAAATTAATTTAAGAAATTTCACCTGCAAAAGTTATCCAATTCATTTTGGTTAGCGGGTATGAAATTTCTCATCGAAAGCAAAAATGGAGCGATACAATAATCCAAGTTTTCTGTATGGCAACGCTCTTGATAACTTATTGACTCTGCTGTAAAATTAATTATAATTTTATCTCTAATTTTACAGCTAAATATTGCTCATGTACACTTACCAGTTGCAACGTAGAGCAAGAAGAAATAAAGTGTTTTCATACTGAAATGCAGAAATTTAGATCCGAAGTACGGTGATTTCAGAAACGAAATAAAGTTGTTTAAGTGAAAAATTTCTAATTAATTTCCTTATATACGAGGAAAATAAATAAATAAAAATATATTTTTATGGGAAAAAGCATTGTCCGGAATAAATTTTCTTCTGGTTCTGTGAAATTTTATTATTTATTTTAATTTAATTGCTGAACTGTCTTTGAAATGCGATGTGGTAAGTCGATTCGTCGTCATAAATTTCTTTTATTTCGTGAATATAATTTCTGTTTTCACTAAAAATTATTTTTAAAATAATTTATTATTAGGAACCTTGTAGTAAAAATGTCTCAAAAATTATGTAAAATGATAAGATTTGCATTAATGAAGCTAAATAATTTATACAAAAATTCATGGTTTCTCTTCGAATATAGCATCAAAGTATTTGAAATTCACACGTAATTTAGTTTTAGTAGTAATTCAAAAAAGTGTTAGGGTTTTTCTGTTTTTATAGATTAGTGTTTGTATGTTAGTGTGTGAGTGGGAGGGCACGTTTTGTTCACCCAAGTGAACCGTTTTGAAGCTTAATAACTCCTGTGTTTTTCGTTGAAAATTTCTGAATTTTGCAGAGAGGTCTCTGTATTACGACATTAACGCTGTTAAATTTTGGTGATTAAATGTCGACGGGATGGAGAGATAATGGGAGTCGTGTGTATCTCCAGTAGGGTCGGACTTAATGACGATTTTACTTATTATTAGCATTTACAATGTTTTATAAAACTCATCCCTACTCTCAAAATTAAGCTTTCTGCCATTTTATAATGATTAGAAATATAAAAAATTTTTTAAAATAAAATATCATAACAGATGGCGCTTTCAACGTTTTAAATGTTGCTAGGAAATTCAAGCAACTCGTTGGTGACCAGACCCTAAACACCGGAGTTCGATCGGGGGTTCGCGCCTCACTCGGACGAGCTGGCAGCTGGAGTTTTTTCCGGGTTTTCTTCCTTGCCAATGACGCCTGAATAGGGGCCAGCTTTCCCTCCAAGTCCTCCCGGAAGGCATTCTGTCTCCCTTTCTCGCGGGGGTCGTCTTTTATAAGGCCGGCTTTGGTTGCTTAGTGACCTCTCTCCTGTCTTCCTCGGATTGGTCGTCTTCTATAAGACCACCTCTTCCTAACTGTTTCTTCCGGAGTGAAAAGCGAAAAGCAATAGCACTCCTCTATCGTCCATGAGATGAAATGAGATGAGAAGCAACTCGTTTCTGGATTTTTAAGATAACGCCACAAACAATTTTAATTCTTATACGACTCTTTGCTGGAATTTTCTTTTACACGTAAGATTTACTGTTATTTTTGCTCACTAATTTTGTCTACAAATAAAATTACCTTTTGCAGAATAGCCTCATATTAACCCATCACTCACTAACTTCCGGTTTTGCGCTTTTAACTTAACAAGATGAGATAAAAGTCTCTTGCAACCCTTTTCATTCCGAAGGTATCAGAGATATATTAATTTTGTTAATGACACGTAAAACGAAATCACTGTTACTCCCTATGAATTTAAAGTTGAAAATTATATAATCCTAAATTCATATTTAAATCCGGGAAATAGTTTTAGACTAATTAAACAGTTCTTTAACTTTGTCATTAGAAGCTTTCCTCATCACAGATAGACGTCCTGTAATGAGGAACAAAGACATACTTTCAAAAATAATTACGTAGGAACAATATTTAAGCTTCGTGTTTAAACACAAGCAAATTTGATTGTAAAGGTGTTATATAATTACATCATAAGTATTATCTCACAACGAGAACACAAAATCTAGTAATGTGTGGAAATGACCAATAATTAAGATTAAAAATTTGTGCTTGTCTTCTTTTTACGATTTTTAAAAAGTCTTCTCTAATTTAATATTTACTTTATCTACTGTAATACCGAGATATTAAACTAAATATTATTATGCTAATATTAGACGTTTTGGGAAATCCGAGATCGAATTTTGGCTCTAGAAAAAATCCAGGATTTTTTGAAAATGGTCTGTCTCAGGTATGTCAGGTCCATCCTCATCTTCACCACTCGATTTCTCCCTGTGGGCCTGGCCGAATTCACGGCCGGATTCAATTTTAAAAAAGTCCTTTTAATGCCCAGAGGGAAAAGAGACAAAAAATGAAAAAATTATATATTTATATGAATAATATTTTAATAAAGCAAGGTCATTATTGTCTGCAACTCGACTCGACTTTTTCCTATGTTTTCCTTCCTCTTATTTCTAATTTATTATAATTATCTATTGTTATAGATACATTATTTAAAATATTACAGAATAATTTTTTATTATAATTTAACATTAATAGAAAATTGTGTTCAATCTTCAAGGTTAATTTCATTTCGTAATAAATTATTGTATTTAAATTTATAATTTATAGTAAAAAAATAATAAACTTTATTTGCATTTTTTTTAATTTTCAGAATAAAATCCAAAACATAATTAATTTAATTATTTTCTAAATAACAGACTGATGTTGTCAACTTATTTCTTCATAGATTTTATTGCTATAGACTATATGATTGTATACTTTGTTTGCCAGCATTTTGTTTTCCTTCTTGACAAAATGGACCCTCCAGCGGCTTGAATCCGATTTTGTCATGAAGGAGGCAAAGTATACAATCATACATTAAAGCACAAAATATTGAAAATGGGTAATATCAGTATTATGAAAAGGTTTGTCTCTCACCACCTGGCCACCCCATTGTGGGCTTGGCTGAATCCATAATGGGCTTTCTAATGGAGGCTCTCTTAGTGCCCACAGGGCGGAAAGAGTTAAAAAAAGAGTACTGTATTATGAAAAGGCCAGAAGCTCACAGAATGATCTTTATTGACAGTTTTGCCCGAGCACTTGAAGCTCAGCTGTTGTTCTTAAATGTTTATGTATTTATTTTTAATGTATCAATTCGAAATGGTCAAATATATAATATGAAACGCCAGTAACGGAGTAGACAGAACCACCACATGGAATTTTCCCGGTTTTGTTCGCATGTGTAACAACTAAATAGGGATCAATTTCCTGTAGAAAGTCCTCCTGAGGTATATTATTCCTTTGAATTTTAATTCCAATACAAAATAACGTGGAAAAATATTGAAAAAATAACGTTAATTGTAAAAATGTTCGCTATTAAGAATATTTCATTTCCCTTAAAAAAAAATGAAATTGCCTAAATGCTATAGCGCCACCATGCGGCTTAAAGGAGAACTGAGGAGCTATCTTGCCATGAACTGTATTTATATCTAAAAAGGATTAATTTAGGTTCTTTACGAGATAAATTAATTTAAAATAATTTAGACACAAGTTAATAAAAGTTTACAGTATTTAAAAGGTTGAGAAATATGGATGCAGAACGTGAAAAATAAATAATTATTCAATAGAAATGACGTGTAACTCTAGAAAATATTTTTTAAATGGTCATATCACCTTAGTCATAATATAATTAATGTTTATGTCAAATAATTAATATTATATGTCTGTATAAGTGTTTAATAAATAAAACAAAATTTATTAATAAGTTATATTTTCATCAGGCATCTTCAAAACTGAAACTAATTTATTTGTAAATTTAAAATATTATTTTATATATTACTTATTTGTATTTAACAAAAACAATGAAATTTTAAACATCATACAGGATTTAATTACATAAAGGTTCAAATTAATACCCATAGATGGCACTATCATGCCATCTGAGTATCAAAACAACAATGAGCATCGAAAAGGCTCTCTAGTGTCCAAGAGTGGAAAATAATAAAATTTAAAAAATATATATTTTATTATACAATAATAACAGCTCATAAATTTTTATATATAAAATATACATACAGTTTGTAAGAAATTTTTGTTATTCAATTGATGTTACAAATTATGGAGCAAACAAATAATACAACAAAATATAGGTTATAGGCCTAAAAGATAAAAAGTGCATAATATATTTTATATTATTTTATCTACTTATGTACTCAAATCTTTATTACTTCGAAATGATTTTAAAACGAGTATACGCAAGTAGACCCCAAGCAGCCTGAAGATATCCAAGTTTACTACCATCAGCCTTCAAGACTCCAATAAGACTACAATTAACCCCCAAGACGCCAAGTAGCTTACAATTAGCCTACAATTAGACTCAAAATAGACTCCAATTAGCCTACAGTTAGACTCGAATTAGCCTAAAATCAGCCTGCAAGACTGCAAGTAACTTACAATTAGCCTCTAAGTCCTTCGAGGCAGTTAGTCTTCTCTTTGTGCCCAATTGTATTGCAGTTTCTCTTCGCCTTTTGATGTTAAATCCTCACGGCACACTAGCGATGGCATCAGAGGGTCGACCCTTACCGTCGCTCCCTTCCACTCACCTCTACTATCCTTGCTATCCTTTTTCTCATTTGCTTTGCTATTACTCTTACCTCCCAAACTGGTGAGGTTTTGTTGTCTCCTGGCATTTGCCTCTGAGCCGAATGTCCTGTGTTTGACGCCACCGTTCCCCGGTGCGGGACACGGCAATTCTTCTGACTATTCTTGACTTGCTTGGTGCGTCGGCAGCCACTTTGGTGGGTGCTTGCCGATTTTCCAGTCTATTTTTTTCTTATCCAATCTGGGCACCTCTACCTGTCTGAGCCTCAGGACCAGTACCACTTGGTGGATGACGGGCTCACCATCCTCTTCTCGCTTTCTTTCAACTATTTAAAATACTAAAGTATTGATCATTTTCTCTTTTTAGTAAAACTCTTCACTAGTCAAACTTCCTTTTCTAAAGTTCTCTGTCGACAAGGCGCCTTCTCTCTGTCGCCTTCCGTCCCTTCCACTTGCGTATGCGGACAACCAGATACTTCGCCTTCTTTCGGGACGGGCGTTAGATGCGAGGTTCGTGCACTGGACTCGCTCGTCCTGGTTTTTCGGGTAGTTGCTTCAGTCAGGTGGACTTCCTCGACTGTTAGGCACTTCCTTTCGTTTTCCTGGATAGTGGCCTTGATCCCTATACGGGTATCCTTCGGTAGATCGGCAGCGGCG